CAGAGAAGCAGATATCCAGGCTGTATGTCCATAGGTTAAGCAGGGTCTGATAAATGTCTTGTATGTGTATAGCAGAAGAGGAGGGTTCAGGCACCAGAAGGTACCGGTGAGAGAACGAAGGAGGTGAAGACGTCGAGTAACCTTAGCAGAAAGGGCAGATAGGTATAGCTTCCAAGTAAGATGCTTATCAAAGACAATGCCTAGATAGGTCACGGAGTCGGAAAGGAGGATTGGGACATTGTCAACCCAGACATCAAATATAGATGGGTCATGGCAAGGGTGAAACTTATGATGAGTTGGAACAAAAATAATAGCTCATGTCTTAGGAACATTGAGGGATAGCCGCCAGCAGTGACACCAAGACAAAAAAGAATTTACAGCAGCCTCGAGTAGCTTGTTCAGAGTTGACATCGTGGAACAATGGGCTACCAAAGCTATGTCATCAGCATATTGAAACAACTGAAGAGGAGGCTGGAGACAAGGCATATCAGCAACATAGAGAATGTACAGAAGGGGAGACAACAAAGAACCTTGTGGGTCTCCAGCATGTAGTGTGAAAGTGCGAGAGAGAATCCAATCAATCGATATAGCAGCACGCCGCCTGTGTAGAAATGAGGAGATGAGACGAATATAGCGAGTAGGAAAGTGTAACATATGCAGTTTGTGGAATAAACATTGATACCAAACTGAGTCAAAAGCACGTCGGAAATCAAACAAGGGCATGCAAGATGGTCTTCGAGTGTTGAAATGATTTGATTGGAAACTGAGTCAAACAATTGGAGAAGTTGGTCCAAAGTAGAAAGGCGTGAAGAGAGGAAGCAGGTTGTAAGCAGCTATGTATTGATGAAGATGGGCAACAACGATGTGTTAAAAGGGGCCGGGGAACGGGAAGCTTTAACCCGATGTCGTTGATGGAAATGAAATGCTCCATTAGATAGGAGATGATCTATAGTGTCACTATTCTCAGCCAAAACACGAATCATGAAGGTAGGACCTGAGGAATTTTGAATGGGAATGGCATGCTTGCGTGATATATTTTCAAGTAGAAGTTCGGAAAGCTCTTTTTCAGTGATGCCAGGATCCACACCACGAATGACACAAGAGAAAAGAGGTGAAGACAAGGAGGGGGATGTTGTTTTAGGGCAGAGAAGCGAAGTTGAGTGAGCATAGTAGATTGACCCATATTAAGCAGTCCCATTTTGTTACGTAGTGTATCACAGAATTGAGGGTTACCACTTTTCACAATTATGCCATTTCTTGTTGGAATTAGTTGATGAACATCAGAACGAAGACAGTATTTAGAAAGTTCGAGAAAGAGGATCCTTGTAGAGAAATACGAGGGATCCATGCTTGAAAGTAGGATCACAGTAATCTGTGGAGCTTCAGTAGCTTCCATAGGTCCAAGCGCTTCACCGGAATAGCTGGATCGAGTGGAGGCAGGAATCGACTGAGTAACAGTGGTAGAGGCAGGAACGTCAGACGAAGTAGAACCAGCAGGAGACAGGTGAGAGACAGTAGAGGTAGTTGAAGCAGTGGACGACGATGAAGATGCGGCAGCATACGACTGTCGCGGGACATTCCTAGTAGTTGAAGAGCTATCCGAGTCCTAGGAGTCGGCTCAGGATGAAGAAACACACAAGATTGCAGGCTTCCGACGTACACCCTCCGAGGGTCGGGAATAAGGTTTTGGAAGAACACGACGAAGCGACTGACCCGGTTGATCCGACATAGTTGGGCGCTCAACAATTTGGGACAACCCAGAATGCATGGACACAAATGAAAAGTAATAAGCAAGTAAGAAATAACTGTTAAAAACACTCACCAAAACGAACCGCTCTCGAGTAATAAGATGAACTGCAGAAATGATATCGAATCCGATCTTTTCAATCTCGAAACAATTATTCCAAAATTCCATCTCCGAATCTCTTCCTGGGTCACATCAAACACTATGTATATAAGCCATTTGTTACAACAACAATTTTAATGGTGTGAACACCTTTTTTCAAGTTGACAAATCATGAATATGATTAATTTCTTCTAATTAGACAATAATATTAGCCTGTTTAATTTTATAACACTTTATTCTATATCTAATCAGTTAGGGATTTTTAAGAATTAGAAGAGTGTACAATATTAGTATTCCAACCATACTGTGTTCACCGTATCTATTGGCGACGACACGTTTCACTCAATCCAGAGTTTATCAGACCGGCTGGAACACACCAAGCACGGCAGTTTGTTTAAAATACTGTTATTGTAGGGTCTACATTCTTCTGATTCTTGAAAATCCTTAGAAACTACATATAAAATACAGGGTTGAAAAATTATAATAAGCCTAATACTGATGTTATGATAAACAGTAAAACGTACATTAGATAGCACTTTATATCGATGGATTAAAGATATAAATATATATAAACATGATTAATTATAAATAACAATATGCACTATTTACACGTACTCGCAATTATAAAGTGCTTTAAAAACAGAAGTAAAAGTGTAATATAAATATAAACCTAACAGTATGACACGAACAAATATTTAAATATAATCAATTCATAACACAATGTATATAAGTAACAGAAGCGCTGACAACAAACGTAAGATGCAAATCAAGAAATAATATATATATATATTCATACACAGAAGTAAGAAGAAATACATCAATATAGAAGAAAGCAGAATAATAAAATATATATCTAAGATTTATTAAAGAAGCTTTAGAGTGTTTATGTCGTGTCAGTTTCAATACTGGATCGAACAAACGTGACAATGTCCTTGATTATAACTATAGTAAACTGAAATATATAATGAGGAATTTTCAAATCATGTAGGTTTTGTATGAGATACTTAGCATTGTTAACATATTAGTCTCTATGGTAAACCAGTAGAGTAATTTACTTATTTCTGTTAAGATAGGAGTTGGTATGTTTAGCCAGTAGAGTGATGTATTTACCATTCTTTAGACAGGAATCTCTTTCGGAAGCAAGTATAGTAATTTTCTTACCATTCTAATGATACGAGTCTCTATGGTAAACCAGTGGAGTGATTTACTTATCATTCTTAAGATATGTGTTTGTATGGTTGTCCAATGGAATGACTTATTTATCATTCTTAAGGTATGAGTCTCTATGGTTACCCAGTGGAGTCATTTATTTAGAATTCTCAATATAGGAGTCTCTATGGTAAGTCACTGGAGTGATTTACTTATCATTGTCAATTTAGGAGTCTCTATGGTAAGTCACTGGAGTGATTTCTTATCATTCTTAAGATAGGAGTTTCTGTGGTAAGCTAGTGTTATTTACGTGTTTTGTTGTGTAGGCTAGAAGTAGGTACACTGTGGTTTATGTGTTACAGATGACGGAAAGGAAGAAAAATATTAAAAAAAAATGATACAATTCAATAACTGATCAGTGTTTAAATTATTTTACAGGGTATTATAAACCTCAAGCTTTACATTAGCGGAAGAATTATTGATGTTAACTTCAAGTTTACTCTTAGAGAATTATTTTATTGAATAATTATTAACTCATAACGTATTGGAATTCACTAGTTCTAATTTCATCTTTAATTTTTTTTCAAATTTTTATATCACACCAGTTAGATCTATATAAACAAGTTCTACTGACTCTGTAGGTGATCCAGAGACGAGGGGATTATGAAAACCCCACAGATTACTTCTACAAATCATGGCAAGAATACAAAATGGGGTTTGGAGACATCGAGAAAGATTTCTGGTTGGGTGTGATGATATAGTAGTATAAACAGTTTCTACTGTTACTTGTATGTAACTATAATAGAAGTAAATGATGTAAGCTA